TCTGGGGTCTTTCAATATGAATTGGCTGGTAAGAAGCAGTACAAAATTGGAATGTGAATACTAGAATTTCATTCTTAATTACAGCTTTTATAATTAGAAAACAAACAGTTGATATGATCTTATTTTTTTTTTTTTTTACAATTTAATGATATCTTGGCTGGGAATGGTGGTGTACTGCTGTACTTCCATCTACTTAGAGGTAGTGAGCAGGAGGATTACCATTGGAGGCTAGGCTAGGCACATTGTTCATCTCAACAAACAATATAGGTTGTGATGATGCACACTTGCAATCCTAAGAATGGAGGAGGCAGAGATAGGAAGAATCGCTGTCTAACACCTGGCCCATGCAGAAAAATCTGAAGACTAATTGAAGCAAAAAAAGGACTCGGTACGTGGCTTAAGTAGAGCACCTACCTATTTATCATGAACCAAGTTCAAACCCTCCATAATGGAAAGAAAAAAAATTTCTAGGTGTGTTTTCACATGTGTGTGTGCTCTCTCTCTTTCCCCTCGCTCGTTCTCTCTGTGTGTATGACTGAATGTTGATTTTACAACATAAAATGTTTCATTATATTTTTACATGTGCATGTAATGTATTTTGATTTCTTATTTTTCCTCCTCTTTTTCCCTTCCCGCATCCCTAATAGTTCCTTTACTTTCATTTCCTCTTTGTTTTTTAATTAGTAATTTATTCTTGATTATCTTTTCATTGAAGCTGATCAGCTCATGTTTTCTAACCATTGGGATTTTTTTTTTATTGTCAAGGTGATGTATAAAGGGGTTTCAGAACATAAGTAAGGTAATGAGTACATTTCTTGTCAGTCTTGTTTACCCCCTTCCCTCAGTTTTCTATTTTCCCTCCTCCCCAATCTCCCCCAAGTTGTACAGTTCATTTCCAACTTCTTGTCTTCTGTATATTGCTGTTGCATTGGTTCCCCCTTGTCCTTTGTCTCACCATTCTGTTGTTCCCCTTCCCTTCCCTAATTCCAATAAACATAAATACAATACCAGGGAACCTAAATCAAATACAGTGACAGCAGAGGATATACCATAGGGGGAAGAACATACAAAAAAAACAGAAAATCGCATAGTACATTAAAACCAACAACAAGAAAGAAAAACCTCTTGTGTTCATGAATTGGAGTTCATTTTCCTTAGCATCATTTTATATGGTCATGTGTCCATAACTATTGAGCTGTTCTGTTCATCTGCTAAGTTTATTCTAGACATATACTAATTACTGCAAATAAGGAAAACCATGGGACCTATGTTTCTTTGGGTTTGGCTTGCTTCACTTAATGTGATTTTTTTCCAAGTCTTTCCATTTCCTTACAAATGGGGCGATGTCCTTCTTTCTAATGGAAGTATAGAACTCCATGTGTATATATATATATATATATATATATATATATACACACACATATATATTTTTCTTTCTTGATCCATTAATCTACTGAGGGACATCTGGGTTGGTTCCATATCTTATCTATGGTGAATAATGCTTCAATAAACACTTGTGCTGGTAGCTTTAGTCTGGCCTTGTTTGTGGTCATTTGGGTAAATGCCCAGAAGTAGGGTTTCTGGGTCATAGGGAAGCTCTATGTATAGTCTTTTGAGGTACCTCCACACTGCGTTCCAGAGTGGTTGAAAAAGTTTACACTCCCACCAACAGTGCAGTAGTGTTCCCTTTTGGCCACATCCCCTCCAGCATCTGTTGTTACTAGATTTCTTGATTATTGCCATTCTAACTGGGGTGAGGTAAAATCTCAATGTTTTGATTTGCATTTCTTGTATGGTCAGAGAAGTAGAGCATTTCTTCATGTATCTATTGGCCATTCTTCTTCTTCTTCTTCTTCTTCAGAGAAGTCTCTCTTGAAGTCTTTAGCCCACTTATTAATGGGGTGGTTGTTTCTTGGAGGGTTTGTTTTGGGGGGGTATTTTTTTTTTTTGTCGTTGTAAGGCCCGAACTCTGGGCCTGAGTGCTGTCCCTCAGCTCTTCAGCTCAAGGCTAGCACTCTACCACCATTTCTGGCTTTTTCTGCTTATGTGGTGCTGAGTAGTCGAATCCAGGGCCTCATCCATGCAAGGCAAGCATTCTACCACTGAGCCACCTTTCCAGCTCAGGGGATTTAATTTTTGAGTTCTAAGTATATTTTAGATTATGAGGCCCTTGTTTGTTGTATGGTTAGTGAAGATCTTCTCCCAGTCCGTGGGCTTTCTATTGATCTTGCTAACTATGTCCTTTGCCATGCAGAAGCTCTGCAATTTCATGCAGTCCCATTTGTCCAACCTTTCTTTGATTTGTTGTATTTCTGGGTCTTTATTAAGAAAATTTCAGTCTGTGCCAAGGAGCCCTAGAGTTTCTCCTATTCCTTCCTGTAATGTTTTCAGGGTGTCTGTTTTTTACTTCGAGGTCTTTGATCCATTTGGAGTTGATTCTGGTGCAGGGTGATATATATAAGGATCTAACGTTAGTTTTTTATAGGTGTTGAACCAATTTTGCCAGCACCATTTATTGAAGAGTCTATCTTTCTTCCATCCTATTTTTTTGGCTCCCTTATTGAAGATTAGGTAGCTATAGGTCTGCGGGTTCATTTCTGGGTTTTCTGTTCTATTGTTGGTCCTCAGGTCTGTTCTTGTGCAAGTACCAAGCTGTTTTGATTGCTATGGCTTTGTAATAGAGTTTGAAGTTTTGGTATTGATATTCCTCCAGCACTGTTCCTTCTGCTAAGGATTGTTTTTGCTATTTGGGGTCTTTTATTGTTCCATATGAATTTTTGGATTACTTCTTCAATTTCATTGAAGAATGAGGTTTGGATATTGATGAGTATTACATTGAATTTGTACAAAGCCTTTGGCAGTATTGCCATTTTCATAATGTTCATTGTCTCAATCCAGGAGGGTTTTCCATTGGGAAAAATTTAAAGGATAGATAATGAGCAGAATCAATTGTAGCCAACAAAACAAAAAGTAATACAATGATAGAGAACTTTTTCAAGGGAACATGCTAAGACAGGAAAACAACTCAGTTGTTCAAAGGCTTGTACCTAGGTTGAGACCTAGGGGATCATCTCTGTTCAAATATAGCCAGGCAGAAAAGTCCATGAGATTTCATCTCCAATTAACAGCAAAATGCCGGACTAGAGAGATGGCTCAAGTGATAGAGCACCAGCTTTGAACAAGAAAACAGAGTATGAAGCCCTAGATTCAAGTTTCAATACTCTTACACACACATGCACACACACACACACACACTCCAGCAGTGATCCAAAAGATTGAGAAAGCTGAGGCAGAGTAAAACAAGATGATTTAAGGAAGTGACCTCAAAATAAAATAGGAAGAGACAGGTTTAGGAAACTGCACATTAGGTTATATGAGTTAGACTAAGGTGGCTAGTGTTTGTTTCATTGAACTAACGGGCAGAGAGGTTGAACATATTTTCCAGCCAAGCTGTTGAACTGATTGAAAAAGTAAAAATCTTTTAAACTGGGACAATGAGGAATTTCTTAATCCAAAGTATAGGTTTCTTTTGGTTTTGTTTTTTGTTGTTGTTGCAAAAATAACATTTATAAAAACAGTTACTGTTGTCTGAAGGCTTACCGTATGCTATACAAGTTACAATACTTTATATACTTAAGGACAAAACTTAGATAGCACTACAAGTTGGTATTCTTTTTTTTTGGGGGGGGTCCGGTCGTGGGGCCTGAACTCTGGGCCTGGGTGCTGTTCCTCAGCTCTTCAGCTCAAAGCTAGCACTACCACTTGAGCCACAGCGCCACTTCCGGCTTTTTTTTTCTTTTTGCTTATGTGGTGCTGAGGAATCGAACCCAGGGCCACAGGCATGCAAGGGAAGCGCTCTACCACTGAGCCACCTTCCCCGCCCCAAATTGGTATTCTTATCCCAGTTTATAAACTAGGAAATTTAAGTCTAAGAAAAGTCCCTTTCTTAATACCAGGACTATTCATAGGATAGAATTTCAGTAACATCAAAGCTTCTAGAAAGCAGTGAAAAAAAGACAGCAATAATTTTTCAAAACCTCTGATCAGGCCGGGCGCCAGTGGCTCACTCCTGTAATACTAGCTACTCCAGAGGCTGAGATCTGAGGATCGCAGTTCAAAGCCAGCCCGGGCAGGAAACTCCGTGAAACTCTTATCTCCAATAAAACACCAGAAAACTGGAAGTGGTGCTGTAGCTCGAGTGGTAGAGTGCTAGCCTTGAGCTGAAGAGTGGCAGAGTGCTAGCCTTGAGCTGAAGAGCTGAGGGACAGCGCTCAGGCTCAGAGTTCAAGCCCCACAACCAACAAAAAACAAACAAAAAACCTCTGATCATCTTGTAAAGGAAAAAGCTGAGCAAGAGTGTGAGGCCCAGTACCAGCGCACACATAAAATAATAATTAAGTTTGAGCCAGTGGATTGTTAGAGTGAGCACATGTATAAAATCCTCAGCAAGATGAACAGATGGAGGGCTGCCAGCATCCTAGGGACACCGCTGCCTAGGGACACGGCAGGAGTTAGACTATTCTGCCTCTAGCATTGGAGATAACTTTGTCCAGTCTTCAGTTTTAAGTAAATGGAATCTTAATACTTTGAACCTTTGTCTGCTTTTCTCCCTCCACACAATGATTGTGAGACTCATATTACTTTTGTATCTTAGTGAAGTGCCCATTGTATGACCATGCTATAACTGATTTACCTATTACACTGTTAGGGGAGGGGGTCATAGTGTCATTACCAGCATTTAGCTATTACAAACAAAGTTTCTTTTTTTCTGTCTTTATAATTTTCTATCTGCTACGACTGAGTCTGAACCCCAATTAAATTATTAACTATTTTTCTTTTCACTATTTTGTGTATGTCTTTTAAGGTATGAAAGGCAGTATTCCTGTTGCTTGGTAGAGTGTCTTAGACAAAATAGTTTTTGTTGCTGTTTTTTATTATATACTGTTTTTTATTATATCCTAAGTGGTACAAAATAGTTTCCATTTCTTATTTCCTCCTAGGTATAACGAACTTCAAACTTCAGCGAAAAAAGCAAAGATGGGTGAAAAGAAACCAGAGCCTTTGGACTTTGTGAAAGATTTTCAGGAATACCTGACTCAGCAGACCCACCATGTGAACATGATTTCTGGATCGGTTAGTGGGGACAAAGAAGCAGAGGCTCTTCAGGGAGGTGGGCTCCTCTGTATACTATTAACTCATTCCCTGGCATAAGTGTACTCATGCTTGTGTGCAGGGAGGTGGGCTCCTCTGCATACTGTTAACTCATTCCCTGGCATAAGTGTACTCATGCTTGTGTGCTGCCCAGAGTCTGATGTTCTACATTAGTGTAGAGCACCCTTTTTCCCCCTTTGGAAGATATGTGGAATCTCTTCTTCTTTTTTGAACACTTGCTAAGGTAGAATGACTTCATATGATCTAAACATGTATGATGGTTTGTTGGAAGGTTAGGGTTTCTAATCCCCTCCTTGTTCTCCAGATTCTGTTAACAGTAGACTGTAGGAACCCAGAGGGGATAAAAACATCAGCTTTTCTACCCAGAGCTCACCCATCAGGAGTTGTGGATTAGATCTGAGGCCCAACTAGTTTTTCATCTCTTAAAATGAAGGAAGTAAGTTGAGTGCCGGTGGCTCACACCTGTAATCCTGGCTACTCAGGAGGCTGAGATCTGAGGATCACAGTTCAAAGCCAGCCTGGCAGGAAAGTCCATGAGATTCTTATCTCCAGTTAACCACCAGAAAACAGGAAGTAGCACTGTGGCTCAAGTGGTAGAGCAGTGGCCTTGAGCTGAAGAGCTCAGGAACAGTGCCTAGGCCCAGAGTTCAAGCCCCACAACCTACAAAAAAAAAGAAGAAGAAGAAGGGCTGACTGTGGTTACCTGTGCAAGAAGAGAAACTAGAATAAAGAAAGCAGAGATCTGATGTGCCTTTGGTGGTAAGTCTTCTTTTTTGGAGACAAATCCATTTCTGTCCTAGTTCAGGGTCAGCAAACTACTGTGCATGGATTTATCTAGGCTGCTACTTTTGTATGGCCTGCAAGCCCAAGTGTGTTTTGTTTTTCTGTACTGGATTTGAACTTGGCCTTGAGTTTCCTAGACAGGTACTCTATTTGAAGTATGTCCCCAGCCCTTTATTTGCTGTATTTTCAGGTAGAGTTTCATACTTGTTGCCTGGGTCTGGCCTGAGGCCTCCTTCTGCTTGTGCCTTCTGTACGGCTGAGATGACAGGTACGCACCACCATGCCTAGTTTATTGACTGAGATGGTGGTCTTACAGGCTTTTTTGTCAGGCTAGCCTTGAACTAAAGTCCTCCCAATCTCTGCCTCCTTGGTATCTGTGAGCCACTATACCTGGCTAAGAATGGTTTTTATGTTTAAAAGTAGTTGAAGAAAACAAAAAAGAATAATATCATGATACATGAAAATTGTATTAAAAACTTTAAACTTTATTGTCCATAAAGGTTCTTAGAACACGTACATGCTCACTTGTTTACATCTTTTTCCTGTGGGTTTATTTTTCTTTTGGGTTTTGCAGTGCTGGGAACTACTACAAGGCCTTTGCATGTGCTAGGTAAGTGCTCATCCACAGAGCCACTTCATAGCATATTTTCTATAGCTGCTTTTTATTTTTTTTTTGCTACAGTAGCAGAGTTGAATAGTTGTGATAGAGTTAGAGCCTGAAGTATTTACTATTGTCCCTGTAGAAAAAGTTTGCTGACCTCTGATCTAGACTGCCTAGGGCCTTCAGATCTAGGGTCTGATTACAAGGGTCAGTCATTATCTTAGAGTTGGTTAGAAATATAATCCTCATGTATTAAAATGTGGGCATCACTGGTGTGGGAAAGCAATAGGTGGAAGGAGGTCATCCTTGACCAACACAGATTGGTCTATGTTGGATATATGACTTGCCCCAAGCAGTCACCCCTCATGGTGAGGGTGAAAGGTACCATGAAACTGGGCTTGTATGGGAGCATGCCAGTACCTCATCCTCCCAGAACGGAGGGAACTCTTTTCCCCTCGTCACTGTAGGAATAAAACTGTTAGCACCTAACACTAATGTGTTAGTGTCCCTGGACTGGGACTTGAGACTAGGGTTTTGTTCCTGACATTTGTTGCTTTTCCTACTTATGAGATCTACCCTTTTAGTTTCTTCTTTTATGCAAAGAGGCAGTCTGTTTAGATGGAAGACAGTTAAACATTTTCTAGCTCTGAAATTCCTAACATTCAGTGGTATCAGTATGTATTTGCTTTATGAGTGTAGTTAGAATGTTTCCCTAAATGGAATCTTGAATGTATGTAGACCGTGTGTCAGGTGAGTAGAATGCTGGAAACTCGTTTAAACTAAAATACATAGAGAATAGGGTTTTAGAGGTTACTAAGATTGTCGGAGGAGCTAGCCTCGAGCGTCACTGTGTGTACTGCCATCAGTCTGAATGAATCCCCATTCCCTTTCTGTCCCCTTACATGTTGTCTTCAAAAGCACGTGAGGACTGGTTCAATTTGTGTGTGAATTTGAGGTCCTTCTGCTTAAAAGTTTTCAGAATATCAAACTGCTTTTCTGTAAAAAATGAGCATTAGTTCAGAAAGTCTGATATTTTATGAATTTAACTGGGGAAGTAAGTTTTCAATTTATGAAAGATTTTTTCAACTACTTAGGACTAAAATGCTAAATTGAATTGACTGAGATGTGTAATTTTTTTTCTATACTTTGTTTATAGCTGGACCAGATGGTGATCAAAATGGACTGGATCACCCATCTGTTGAGGTTTCCCTGGATGAAAACTCAGGAATGTTAGTAGACGGGTTTGAAAGGACCTTTGATGGGAAGCTCAAGTGTCGGTACTGCAACTATGCCAGCAAAGGAACAGCACGGCTTATTGAACATATTAGAATTCATACAGGTAATGGAGAAACATTTGGAGAAGCCATTTCTTTAAGGTAGCAACAGGAACCGAGAGAGCAAGGCCAATTCTCATTGTGAACAATTGAAGATTGACGTAAGGTTAGGATCAGTGAGGATGTTACTCTAGTTTTACAAAGCAACAGCTTACCAGCATACAAGTAGTAGGAAGTGGGGCTCCTTGTCATCTTGGTCCCTCCCCAGACATTATTCCTCTTGTTCCACATAATTGCTCATTATTTTTCTGCTGCTCAGGTTAGGGAAGTGATTGCTAATTATCTTGATTCTGTGAGAATGCTTCAGCTGCAAAAACAGGGAAGCTTCTGTACAATTGGAGACTCTACTAATAAGCCTAGATTTTACCCTACTCAGCCTTCTGAGAAACCTTCCTGATTATATCCAGCCCTCCTCCAAGACCAGACCAGACCAGACCAGACCAGATGCCCTCTGTGCTCCATGGCCTGAAGCCTCCTAAGAACAGAGATTGTGGCAAGGCCATCTTGTACCCCTAAAGCTAGCAGGATATCTGGTACATAGCAGATACTCACAGCTTGTTAGATGAATAGGACCCCAAGTTGTATTCCAAGTGGGGTTTTTTTTGCTTGGTCATGGATCTTAACGTCTGGGCCTGGGTGCTGACCCTGAGCTCTTCAGCTCAAGGTGAGCACTCTACCACTTGAGCCACAGTACCACTTCCAGTTTTCCTGTGGTTAATTGGAGATAAGTCTCATGGACTTTCCTGCCCGGGCTGGCTTTGAACCAGGATCCTCAGATCTTAGCCTCCTGAGTAGCTAGGATTACAGGCGTGAACCACTGGCACCCAGCCAAATGATTTTTGTTCTTTATTTTTTTATTGTTTGTGGAGCATGAACTCAGGGCTTTGGCACTGTTCCTGAGCTCATTTGCTCAAGACTTAGTTCTCTACCACTTTGAACCACAGCTCCACTACTTGTTTTCTGGTGGCTCATTGGAGATAGAGTCATAGACTTTCCAGCTCAGGCTGGCTTTGAGCCATGATCTCAGATCTCAGCCTCCTGATTAGCTAGAATTACAGGCATGAGTCACCAGTGCTCAGCTTCCAAGTGTGTCTTTTATGTATCTGGGCAGTCTTCGGGCAACAGCTTTAACTAACATTGTTCTGAATACAGTGCCACTGAATAGAGGGAAGGTAGAAGAGAAGCACTTGCAGTGTTGAAGAGATACGTTGTGTAGCTCATTTTGACCAGGTGCTTCATTTAGATTTGGAGCTTTCTATTTCATATAAGGACTTTTTAGGAAAAAGAAAAGTTTCTTGTATTTTTTTTCCTTGAGGAAAGGGTGTGTACATGTGTGATTATCTATGAATGAATATTTACAAAGATGAATATGTAACTAAGGCCTACTGGTGGTGGGACAATCATTATGTAGGGAATATTAGTGCTCCTTTCTTTCTCCAAATACCTGTTAAAGCCATAATTCATACTAAATTGAATTATAGAATCTAAGTGTATATTGCAAATTATTGCTGATGAATCCTTAGGCTGTATTTCAATTTTCAGGTTTATTTGGATTTGAATACTTAATTATCATTTCTGAGTCCCGTGAATGGACAGACATGAAATTTTCCATAAATGAGCTATTCTTGCAGTTTCTCTTCCACTTTTTCTGTTCAAACAGGTGAGAAGCCTCATAGATGTCATTTATGCCCATTTGCATCTGCTTATGAGCGTCATCTGGAAGCCCATATGCGTTCCCATACTGGAGAGAAACCATACAAATGTGAATTGTGTTCCTTCCGCTGCAGTGATCGAAGCAACCTGTCCCATCATCGAAGGCGCAAGCATAAAATGGTACCAATTAAAGGTACCAGGTCTTCCTTGAGCAACAAGAAAATGTGGGGAGTTTTACAGAAAAAAACAAGCAATCTGGGGTATAGCAGAAGAGCACTTATCAACTTAAGTCCACCTTCCATGGTGGTTCAGAAGCCAGACTACCTTAATGATTTTACCCATGAAATCCCAAACATCCAGACTGACTCCTATGAAAGTATGGCAAAAACTACACCAACTGGTGGCCTGCCAAGAGACCCTCAAGAACTTATGGTTGACAACCCTTTAAATCAGCTCTCCACCCTAGCAGGACAGTTGTCCAGTTTGCCACCTGAAAACCAAAACCCTGCATCCCCTGACGTGGTTCCCTGCCCTGATGAAAAGCCTTTCATGATTCAGCAGCCCTCTGCCCAAGCAGTAGTTTCTGCTGTGTCAGCAACTATTCCTCAGAGCTCCTCTCCCACAAGCCCTGAGCCAAGGCCATCACACAGTCAGAGGAACTACAGTCCAGTGGCAGGGCCAAGCAGTGAACCCAGTGCCCACACCAGTACTCCCAGCATAGGAAACAGCCAGCCAAGTACTCCAGCCCCAACGCTGCCAGTCCAGGATCCTCAGCTTCTGCACCATTGCCAGCACTGTGACATGTACTTTGCAGACAATATCCTTTACACTATTCATATGGGATGTCATGGCTATGAGAATCCTTTCCAGTGTAATATATGTGGATGCAAATGTAAAAACAAGTACGATTTTGCCTGCCACTTTGCAAGAGGGCAACATAACCAACACTGAAAACAGTCACATGGACTTGCTTTGGCCTCTTGGGGCTTTGTAGTTGAGTTTTTGTTTTTGGTCATCCCTAATAAGGTGTGTGCTAACTTAAAGTTTATCCGTTATAAAATGTAAATTTAATGGTCGAAAACTTTTTCTTATTTTTTTTCATAAAAAAATATGGTCAGGGTTATTTATGTTATTAGAACAATTAGGACACATAACTATTTTTTTCTTTCACATCTAAAGATAATTGAGGATTGAAATACAATCATAATCCTAATGTAAGTGTTCATTTACCTTTCCCACATTTACTTATGGTCCATAAAGATGTCAAGGTTTTCCATACTCTTGATACTTCAGTATACACATGACAGCTAAATGTTATTTCTGCCATATTTCAAAGTAGCAGAAAAAGATATTTTTTCTTAAAAATCTGTCACAATGTATTTCAGTGTTTGTAGAGAAACTGCCTTTAAAATTGCTCTTAATTGAAGTATTATTTAGTTCACATATTTTAAAGTCGAATCAGTTTCATTTCAACTGATAAGAATAAAGCTCTTTCACTGTAGTAAATCCTTTTTCCTACAAGGGGCTATATGAAAGCATTCTTTTAAAGTTATAAATACTGGCGAAAGTTCTGAAAAGAAATGAAACTAAAGACTTAAGTTGGCAATTGTGTTTAGTATTTAAAATACCAGTTGGTTAACTGTCTTAGTTTTTCATTGCATTTTTTTATACTTCCAATTTTTTTTAACTACAGGTAAATACACTAGAATGTGGATGATTTTCTTTCTTTTCAACTAAGTCTACCTTTTAAGTTTATTTTGACATTTGTGTCAAGTGAGATTGGTAACTGTAGTGAGAATCTGTTACTCTTCCTATTCCTTTGATGACCAAAGAAGTGCGAGGCAGTCATCCGCGCTACTAAGATGCAGCCCTTCAGAGAAATCTCCAAAGTATCCTTTTCCTGCCTTCTATCCATTTATTGCCGGTAGCTGCCTAGAAAAGGTGGCTATAGAAACACTTGGGAAATGTGTTGAAATATTTACAAAAGACAGATCCTGGTCTCCTCTTCAGAGTTGGCCACTTAAAAATAGTTTCTGTGAATTCCAGCTGTAAAAGTCTTCATGTACAGTGACTGTACTATATAGAAACTGTGAGTGAATTGTCGCCTTAGTAGGAAGGAGAAGAGGTGTGAACATGGGTATAAAACACATTTAAACACAGCATTTGTTTATAGAAGTAATACTTGCTAAATAGATTTAGAATAACTCGTTTTGAATAGGAGGCTATTGTTTTTTATATTGTGTAATAACTAGCTTACTCTGAAGAGAGCTTGGTCAAACAATAAAATATTGTTACTTACTCCTGGTTTCTTTGTACTTTGCAAAAATTTTGTTTTTAATTTGGTTCTTATCTTGAAAATACAAATTCACTTCTATTTTAAAAAATCCTGATAAGCATTTTTTTAAACCAAAAATGACCCCTACTCTTAAGTAAAAAAGAAACATTGATGATATCTGGCCATAAAAAAGCCCAAGTGCCAAGTTCAGGAGTCCTCTGCCCTTCCTTCAAATACCAGAAAGCCATTAAGAGGAGTGCTTGTGTTGAGTGCTTGTCTCAAGGGCACTGTTGAACTGTAATTCTCCTCTCAAACCTTGTGACCCTGAAGTTCTGTAGTTGAAAGTTCTGCAGTTGTTTTAGTCTTACTTAAGTCACTCACTCCCCAGGTTAGTTTTACTGAAACATTTTCCAAATGCATAACTAAACTGGTATTTATTAATTTTCAGAAAGAAACAGGTTGTCATTTGAGAGCTTTTTTTCTCTGTTTTATTCAAATAAAAGCAATACCCCAGAACAGAAAATGAAAATGTTTATTAAAAAAAGAGGAGGAAGCAGGGTGTTGGTGCATGCCTGTAGTCTAAGCTATTCAGGAGGCTGAGGCAGGAGAATGGCTAGAGCCAAGGAGTTCAAACCCAGCCTGGAAAGCAGCAAGAACCCTGCCTCAAACACAAGTACAAAAATGGAAGAACTCTCCTTAAAACCAGCTTTATTAATCTATTCTGGGTCAAACAGTGACAAGTTCATTTTTCCCTAAAATTAAAAATGAATGTTTTGAAGGTTCACTTTAAATATGGAAAAGACTTTTTTCATAATTAAACTAGGATGAAAAATTGTAATTTTCCACTAAGTTAAAGAGCACAGTTGGTATCCCAAAGGTGTTGATGCTTACAGGTTACAATTGTAAATGCACTAAAATTTCTGAAGCTAATCTACCTTTGAAACTTTTTTAGAACTTTACTTTTAAGATTAGACTTTATTTAAATTTCCTGAGTTAATTTCTGTATATGGAAAGATATTAAGATCTTCCCTTACAGATTGAATATGTTCCCCTCATTTTATTTTCTTCAAGTATTTTATAGAAATGAGTTAGGAAAAATTTAACATGCACTATTTATAGTACTTTGCCGTTAACAGGCAATGTTCTGAAACTAAATTTATTTTTGTTCAGTGAACATATAAGTTTAGATTTTTAAAGTTGGTAGATAATTTATCTCCACTAATATTTTTTTAAGAAACTGAAGAGATTAACAGGGAATAATTTTATTTCAGATTTTACTAATGTAGTAATATAACTACAACTTCTTGAAATTCAAGTGAAGGCTAGACTTTTACTTTGAAAAATTCCATTGGGTATTTCCAATGCTATTTCATTTTAGAAATAAATGTTTACCATTCATCTGCAGAATTGTTTGACAAAGGGAATTACTACTAAAGTATAAAGTAAACTTCACCTAAAGTTTTGTAAAAATATTTGTCAAATGAATGAGTTATTAAAAATATTAATCGTTATTAAAAATTCCCTGCTAAAGACTTTTTCATTAGTCTTAGAGGGTGTATGCTTTTTAGAACTTTTTTCGTTAATATGTACTTTGATTTAAGTAAAGAACATATTTTATATGCAATGCATAAATCTTGCATTATGGTTGTAAAATACACTATATTATTTAGGGGTCCAGAAAGCAGTTTAATGCTGATATAACTATATCTGGTATGTAGTTCATATTGTGAATGAAGCTTTGCTTTTGTAATATATAAATAAAAAAATAACACTTTGTATGACCTTCCTTTTTTTTCTTTTTTGAAAGCTAGTATCAAATTAGTTTTTTAGTAATTTTCTCATCTGTATGTAAAATGCTAATAAAAGAAAAAGATTTATGGCTACTGTAGTTTGGATGTCTAGAATGTCTTACCATGAAAACTATTATTAGGAGTTAAAAACAAAGACAGTTCCATGTGTGTGTAACCTGTTTCTACTTGTTTCAGATCCCTTCAACCTGCGTCCATGCCCGCGGGTCTGGCTGGCACAGCAGGCAGGAAGGAAGGCTGCCTCCAAGGCCGAGCCACCTCACCACACTGCACAGCTCACTCAGCTCATTTCCACACTGACAGATGGGTCTTGAGACTTTTTTATTTCAAAGTCTCTGGAAATTCACATTGTTTTAGAAAATATCTGGTAAGATAAAACTTTCTAAACTTTTTTTTTTTTGCAAAAACTTAAGCCAAATCAGATATTTTACTGGAAATTCAGAAATTTTAATGTTGCTTTGAAAAATACTTTTGCATGATATTGTCTTTCTCATTACAAAAAGAAGAAATGACATCTGATATGTCAGTGGTTTGTGGGAAGCACAGGTGTTTTTTGTTTCCTTGTCTTAGGTCTTCCAAAAATCCTGCTTTGAGCTTGTTGAGATCTTCTGCTAAAAGCTTCAAGTTGTTAGGAAGTATTTGCTCATCTAAAATAGAAACATAAGTCTCAAATTATTAAATCTGGACTGTCAAAGAAGTTAATTTGTTTACATGAGATAAACCAGGTATGAATCATCATGGTTTCATTATAATAAGTTACAGACAAAAGGTCACATTGATGTGATCCAGAAAAGTCGTGTGAAACAATTCAGAGAATGTAAATAACTTACTGTGAAATATATGAGCAGAAAAAGACAAATGAGGATTATTTTTGGTTAACAAGAGCAAAGATAGCCAACTCAAAAGGATAGCCTCCATAGGGATAAAAGCAGAAATAAGAAATGACATTTTAGGTTTGGAACTTCTAATACCTTGAAGAGTTTTCAGTTGAACATTTCTACAATGATGGAATGTTCCATCAGCTCTGTTCAGTACAGAAACCAATGTGGTGGTACTGAGAATCTGAGATTTTGTTAGTTTATTGAGATATATTTGCCATAAATTTATCCACTTAAACTTCAATACAGTGGAAGTTAGAATATTCACATGGAACCATTCCCAGTCAATTTTAGAATATTTTTATAACCCCAAATCCCTTTGGCTGTCACCCTTTAACCACCATCTTATCTTTTCTTATAACCTGTAAGCAATCTCTAATCCACTTTTTTTTTGTTTTGGGGGGGCGGGTCCGGTAGTGGGGCCTGAACTCTGGGCCTGGGCGCTGTCCCTCAGCTCTTCAGCTCAAGGCGAGTGCTCTATCACTTGAGCCACAGCACCACCTCCAGCTTTTTTCTTTTTGCTTATGTGGTGCTGAGGAATCAAACCCAGGGCCTCATGCATGCAAGGCAAGTGCTCTACCACTGAGCCACCTTCCCAGCCCTCTCTAACCCACTTTATCTCAGGATTTCCCTGCTCTGGTCATTTCACATGACTGGAGTCATATACTATATTGTGTTTTGTGATGTTGTGTGTGTGTGTGCGTGCGTGCATGTATACATGTGTATGTATATACATGTCTTTTTTTTTGATCATGGAGCTTAAACTCGGCCTGGGTGCTGTTGCTGAGCACTTTTGCTCAAGGCTAGTGCTCTAGCACTTTGAGCTATAGCTCCACTTCCAGTTTTCTGGTGGTTCACTGGAGATAAGAGTCTCATGAACTTTTCTGCCCAGGCTGGCTTTGAACCTTGATCCTCAGGTCTCAACCTCCTGAACCACTGGCACCTGGCTATATCTAAGCTTCTCCACATTGTATCCTATATAAATTTTACTTTACTGAATAATATTTTAGTGTATGGACATGTCTAGTGACCTTTTGGTTATTAGTAATAATGCTGCTGTAAACAGATTTTGTATATATAAGACACTATTTGTAAAGTATGTCCACCTTACAAGATTGAAAAGATCATAAACCATAAAGTACTTAGCATATAGAAGTAAATGTTAGGTATTGTTTGATTCACAAATCAAAACTTAACATTAAAGTTCTTTTTATACAATTATTAACTGCCACACATTTTATCTGTAAAATTCAGATTTATAATACATTAACCTTGTGCAAACTCTATGCTGATCATGTATGTAGACGCTCTTCTGTCCCAAAATATTTCAAACACTTTTTCCTCTGGTATTTTTGCTCATTATGTGTCTGCTGTCTGGAGTGGGCTTTGAGATATGTGCTTGTTCTGTCCATCCTTCACATCTGTTTAAACATCTCTGAGAAGCCTTCCTGTTACCATTACCACTCTACAAGCCTTACCCTACTGCTTCAGAACACTCGTATTCATATAATTACTTTCTTGTCTTCTTTTTTTTTTTGGTAAAATGTTCTGCTTCCTATTGATTTCCCAGTATTTAGAAAAGGCCTAATAAAAAGTAGCCAGTTGGTAAACTAATTAGGAGGATAAATGGATGAACACCCTCATTCTAGGGGCAGAATTTGAATTGAAGCTACATGTAACAGAACTGTAAATTTGGAAACATGACAAAAGCTTTGGGAGCTGATAAACTACCTGAGTGTGAAGGAGAGTCATCACAGTAACTAAACAGTGCCTAACAATTCAACATACCTTTTGCTTCCTTCATGGTCTGAGAGACAGTTCTTCGGAGTGCCTGATCCACTTTATGAAGAATGTTAGCAGAACAAATTATTCTGTCTGTTTCCTGTGGGATAAAAACTTTTGTTATTGGAACAGTTTCATACAAGAAATGATTAGAATATAGGGGACTCAGCCAGGCATCGGTGGCTCACGCCTATAATCCTAGCTACTCAGGAGGCTGAGATCTGAGGATCCCAGTTCAGAGTCAGCCCCTGCAGGAAAGTCTGAGACTCTTATCTCCAGTAAACCACCAGAAAACTGGAAGTGGTGCTGTGGTTCAAGTGGTAGAGCACTCGCCTTGAGGTGAAGAGCTGACGGACATCGCCCAGGGCCAGAGTTCAAGCTCCACCACCACCACCAACAACAACAAAAAGAATGTAGCAGACTCATTGAAGGGATAATAAAAGTTACATCTGGTAATGAACTGTGGTCCCTGGCAGTATCCTGGAGAATATCTAATAACTGGCTTTTCAGGAAAGAAAAACTTGTCCAAACCTATGTGGAGCATTGGCTTATTTCTGTAGTG